GCCAATGGCAATGACTGCCATATCGGTAACACGGAGAACTGTGTCGCACAGGTTGTTAGTTCGTCGAAGGCCATGACATAGTTCCCTAATGCTCTGGCGGCACGCCTGAGTCCTTTGACCATCCTCTGTGAGAGGGCTGTCGGAATTCGGAAGTAGCTATTATCTATGGCGTTCCCATGCTCGTAGTCGAAGTGCAGCCAGAAGAAGAATCTCATGAACACACGGAACCCTCACGTGAGCATAGCTGCCATTCCCATCGATGTCAGGACATGCACACTCAAGTGTAGTCTTCGCAATTCGGCTACTATCTCCCTTAACAGAAAGGTTTTATCAGCACCAGCGATGCCCGATAGAACGCGATAGGATGGGCATTCAGAGGATATGAGAGTTCGTATGATGAGGTTGAAGGCACGCTGCTGTTGTCGCTCCATAGTATGGATTCCGTACGAAATTATTACAACCCTGAAACCAGCGATATGTTCTTTCTCGTGATGCTTGGTGTTAAGTCCAGCTGAGTTAGATAGTAAGAGATGGTATGGGGTAACCCTATTGGGTTTAGAGTTGGCGTTTGGAGAGGATGAAGCGACTGGTATGCCGTGTTGTTGTTCTGTTGTTGTGCTACCACTGACAGCTCAAGAGTTCTGTACCTCATGTTCATTGAATCAATTGTGGAGTTCAGAATCGACTCTAACATCGTATTGTACGTGTAAGAAGCGACTCTGGAATCGATTCTGAGTTTCGAAATCGGCCCATCAAACGACCCCGCACTCGCACGATGCGCGTTACACGCTTTCTTCGTTGTTATAGGGCTTGACGGAGGTTCGATTCCTGGTGACGGTTTTTTCCGCAATTTTCTTGGAATACGTGATAGGTGGAGCCTTACTCTTACAACAGTTCGGTTGCCTAGTTGTCTCGTATAACAACCCCACCGTGTTGCGGGATTTTTTTTCTACGACTGTACGAATATGGATTCGGTTTTCTCCTCGAATTTTGTACTATCTCTAACCTGTTGCACAATTTATCCGACCTCATTAGCATCATCAAGACCATTATTATTCTTTACTTAAGACACTCCTATCATCAGCCTTTTCGTTGGCCTCGTCACAATGACCAACGACCTCAGGTCAGAAGGTCCAGTATGCGTAGAGGAGTGGGTCAAGCAACACTCAGTGAGCTTCTGTCCACCCATCTGCAACAAACTCATGCACAAACAACACCTGTCGATCATGTTCGTCGGTGGCCCCAACACTAGAACTGATTTTCACTTGGACGAAAGCCCAGAGTTCTTCTGGCAGCTCAAAGGCAACATGCAATTACCAATAGTTGAACGAGGAAAGAAACAGTAAAAACCGTTTGATTCCAGATAACGACAGGTCTTCCTTTGTAGGGTCGTTGAGATCAAGGAAGGCGAAGTTTTTCTCCTCCCCAGTAGAATACCACACTCGCCTCAACGTCCAGAAGCCGGCAGTTTAGTAACAAATTCCTCTCGCTAGCATAGTGATGATATCTCGTGGCTCAGGGGCTTGTTATTGAGCGAGCTCGTGTGGAAGGAAAAGAGTTTGACGCCTTGCGGTGGTACACAGATTTTGACAAGTGTGATGAAATCCTGTGGGAGAAGTAGGTCTATGATGATCTACTGAGCAGACTTCCGAGCTCAGGTACTTCTATTGTGACGATCTCGGTCGAGATTTGGTACCAGTGGTTGAGGTAGGCCTTCTTGAGCAAGCGTATGATGAGTCCTAGCAGGAATTCAAAGCCTCTGAAGCATTTGCAACAGGCCGACCGACGGTTGGGTCGGTGGTAGCAAATCCTCCACTACGCCAGGACTGTCAGACGAGCGTTCCGCGGTAACCACCATCAGCATAGAAAAAGCTTGATTTCAAATCATAGTCCGTTCTCCCTGAAAGATTGGTTGCAAGCGCACGAACAAGACCTTTCAAAACCCGACTCGCGACTGAGCCTCTTCGGAGACGACCACCCAGAGAAAGGCTTTACGGTCGTCGTTATTGGCGCCGGTGAAAAGTGAAGCTCTCGAAAGCTCCTGGTGAATTCCGTCGTCAGGCACGGGGGAGACGAAATACGATGAGTTCATCGAGAAGAACGAGGCCTTCCTCTACGTTTTTCGTGGTGGAATTGAAGTAACCATCGGTCTCGTTTTTGTGGAATATGTGAGTGTCAGGTTTCGAACAACGGTATCGACCCTAGGGTGGTCAAGGCCGGCGAATGCTTGATTCTAAGCGGAGGAAAGTCCTTCCAGTTTCGATTCTCTGAAGACAACATTGCGCTCCTTTTGAAAAGCACAACCCCCCATGATTGTTAATTCCTAAGTCGGTTTCAACACTTGGGCTCTTCGTGTTGTTATTAATACTTCCAACCACCTGTGAGTGAATTCACAATCAGATTTTCCGTAGTTGTCAAGACACAGACTAACAGAAGATACAACATCCACGTTTCGGCTTAGTTTCTCCTTGAGAAACATGCGAATGCCGGGTCCTGCGCACTCAGCAAAGGAGTGAACATTGATGAGTTCTCCTTCGATACCATATATCCTTAAGGTGTCGAATTAGTGTAAAATGTGGGCCTATGCTAAGCAGCGCGGGAGGTGCCCAAACTGGTTCCGAATAAGTGTCTTGTTCAAGTCGTTCCACCGTGCCACACCTACTGCTTTCATCCGTACGTCGTGGCGTTAAATTCCCATTCGTTGTACTTCTCCCATCTCTAAGAATCAGCGTTATCAATATCACACTGATCTTTGAAGTGAGGGTAATGTCCAAGGTTCGATTCCCACCGATAGCATATTCAACCAACTACTAAACTCAACCACCCAGGCCCGATAAAAAGATCAAACTTTCGGCTGCGCTGTTTGACGCGCCTTCTTCTCCGCCTCTTTCCTCTTGTCATATCTAAAAAGTGAATAACAACTCCTTCCCACAAGTCACCACGCTACTCCCGGGTATCAGCGGCCTCAAGGAAGGCCCTTTTATGAAGGTACCCGTCTCGTCGGTCCTTCTCGAAGAGACCATCGAGCTCACTGGAAGCTTTGAAACGACTCCATTCGGCTGATGACTTCTCTACTGATGTCACCTACGGCCGAGATGTTCGAATTCACCTTGTACAAATTTTATGTTACGGTTTAGAAATTATTGGGAAAATGGAAAATTTTTTTCTGCATAAAAACACAAAAAAACACTCATTGATCGCATCTGTTGCCGATCGTTGATTTCAAATTCAGATTCCTCACCCATAATTCGGGAATATTTTCTTGTAATTTTTCGAAGTTTTCACCGAGTATTTTCCATTCCATCGACCGACTAACCTGTCCAGCCCTGAG